AATAGTTGAATAATTTTCATAATATAGATATACTAGGACCTTAATAGAGCCCTATTACAGACTGTTACTGTAAGGGGGCAGTACCTGAAATATAGGGTGTTTTGGGCTTATAGCAGGTTTTTCAAGGCCAGAAGCCCTTGTCTCAAAAATCCCCAAAAGCCTATACCTGACATCCTTCGTAAAGTCGAGCACAGCTGCACTTCCTTCTTAGGCGAGTTGGCCTCCTGCGAAGGCGCGACGAGTCTCACAGACACGGGATGTGACAGGGCTCATGGGATGTGGAATTCATAGGACTCAACTTGGGCAAGATTGAGGGGGCGACGAGCTGACTACAGTCACAAAACGCACCTGTAGGGTCCCAACAATTTCTGAGCGGTGACTTCATATATTGGGAACCTACAAAAAAAGGCACCATCCCCTTATAGTGCTTCAAGCGCCTATGTTAGAAATCCGATAAAGCCCTACAGAGGCCTTTTCAGAAACTCTTCTAGTTCTTCAATCCCACCACAAGCGCATGATACCGACCACCAAGACTCGGTGCTGCGACTTGCACGAGCTAGCAAAGCTCAAAGAAAGCTGAAAGGCTTACCCTCACAGGCTGAAGTACATTGCATGATATTGTAGTACATGACATTGAGTTTTAGTGTTTTGTGATATGTTGTTTCATTGCACTACTTTTTTCGGCTTGGAAAACTCGAATTCTAAACGTGAAGGTTGTAGGGTTCAGGACTTGGGGTTCACAACACCCGAATCCGTCTAGAAATCCTCGTATCACAAGCTGGGTTCTCCTTGAAAGACAATTTGGGCTACTACTGTTCGTCTACCGTAATACTATAGTACTTCAAACCATAATTATGGTATCCTGAAACAGAATTTCAATTCCTTAACAACCACCCAGCAGGAACCCAGAAACCATAAACCCTAAACTCTAAATCCCTGAACCCTAAACCCCTAAACTCTTGAATCCCTAAACCCTAAACCCCTGAACCCTAAACCGCTACCCCCTAACCCCCAAACCCCACAACCCCTTAACCCCTGAACCCTAAACCCCTGAACCCCTGAACCCCTAAACCCGTAAATCCTAAACATTTATAAGCCCTAAACCCAACCGTCCTCCTTCAAGGACTCCAGCTCTTCCGGTCTGGGGGACCCGGGCACGGTGAGCCTTGGATGGGGCTGTCGGAGTCGGCTGTGCAATTCGACGCAGGTAAGAGAGAGAGAGAGAGAGAGAGAGAGAGAGAGAGAGAGAGAGAGAGAGAAAGAGAGAGAGAGAGAGAGAGCGAGAGCGAGAGAGCGAGAGAGAGAGAGAGAGAGACACAGAGAGAGAGGGTGAGAGGGAGAGAGACAGAGAGAGAGAAAGAGAGAGAAAGAGAGAGAAAGAGAGAGACGGAGACAGAGACGAAGAAAGACAGAAACAACGAAAGAAAGAATATATCTAAACAGCGAGAAACGCAGAGAGAGAGAGAGAGGAAGAGGGAGAAAGAGACGAGAGAAAGGCGGGGACAACAAAGCATACTGAACGAGCGACAGAGACAGGTAAAGATGCTGTTGCCACCAAAGCATTCCTTGGTGCTTCGGACTTTTCAGATCATCGCTGGAAACAATGATCTGGGCACATACCTTCGTCGGACGCCGTCGATCAGCATTCCATCGTCGAAATGGCTAGGCTCATATAGTAAAACTCCCAAGAAGCCACAGACATAACGGCTTAAGCTTTCCGATTCCAACCCAACAAGTCTAAAGTTTAGGTATTGGGGATCTAAGTGTATAGTATCCATAGAGGAATGGAATAATGTAGGCACCTGATTCAGAAACCCTGGCCCTATAACCCAAAACCGTGGGATCCATTAAGGGAACCCCAATAAAGGTCCGAGGTTTCTTAATCAGGTTCCTACATTAGTCAAAACCACCGAAGAGAACATAAACATCCCAGCAACTTACGCCTGCTGAAAAAACCTTCACATCCCTCAATAGCCCTAGCAGTAAGGTAAGCCTCGTCATAAACCCTAAACCCAAGCAGGGAAGCCTAAGAAATTCAGAAGTTTAAAAGCCTAAACCCTACACCCCAAATCGAACTTCAGCGCGGAGGACAAGACGGCCAAGGGGGCCATCTGAAGAGCCATTCCCACATAGCCCAGCGTGGAGGAGGGCTGGAGGCTGCCTAGGGTTTAGGGTTTGGGGGTTAGGGCTTGGGGTTTACGGGTTTCAGGGGTTTAGGGGTTTAGGGTTTTGGGGTTTAGGATTTAGGGTTTAGGGTTTGGGGTTCAGTTTTTTTGGGTTCGCTGCTCCGAAGATTTAGGCTTCATGGTATAGGGATTCTGTGCCTCTGGGTTTATTTCATCGGAGATCTGCGTTCAACTACGTTTACAGCTTCAGGATGTTGGTCCCTGGCTTAGGGATAGGTGTCAGAATAATATACGGGGGCAGACATCATCATCGAAAGAGGGGCAAGCTACTTCAGATTCCTCTAAGTAGTGCCTGTCATGCCGTCGAGGAATCGTACGTTAGATGGAGTTGGGGGGCACTCTACACCCTAAACTCCTAAGCCCTAAACCGCTAACGAAAGCCTAAACCCCTAAAAACTAAACCCTATTTGGCATGACTCCCCCCATGAGGTATCCGTCTCGACAGTTTCTCCGATGTATTCTTCGCTTTGGGGCGTCGCTTGACTGGCTAGGTACAGGAAGCATCCAGGGAGGCTTTCTGCCTCATCGAAGGCTTCGGTACGCTTATTGTATGCTTCCAGTATCAATGTAGTAGCCTAATCCTAACTAACCTCACATGGGTAGTTCTCTAAATCGGGGTCAACTTTAAATCCCAAAGATTGCGGCAACCTTATACAAAAGGGACCCTAAAAAGGGCCCGAAGCTCGCAAGAGTTGTTGGGGTCATGTGGGTGGTTGTCAATATTAGGGTCCCTTTTTGGGTCCTTATTATAATACGGCACCTATTATTTAGGGTACCCAAAGAGGGACCATAATTTTGACAACCACCCATGTAGAGCTTCAGGGTTTAGGGTTGACGGTCTAAAGACTGCGTGAGGGTATGGGGTTTCGGGTTCAGGGAGAGGGATTCAATGCTTTTGGGTTTCGGGTTTTGGGAGTGCGGGGGAGGTTCCATGGAGCCCCATCAACCCTGAGCCCTATTAACCCTAAACCGCCCCAGTGTGCGCCCCAACCCCGACTTTCGGCCAGGCCTTGGGAGAAGAAGAAGCTGACCATCACGTCGTAGACCTTTCTTCGGCGCTTTTGGCTTTCGGAGCTTCAGGCTCGGACTGGCTTCCCCAGAGACTCCAATATCCTTTAATTAAGGAATATACCTTAAAGTATGGTAGGATCCCTAATATGATTTAAGGTATATTTAAGGGATATTGGAGTCTCTGGCTTCGATGTTACACCCTAAGCCCTACCTATAGTCTCCATTGTAGTTCCTTTCTTGGCTCCACCAACTATATGCTTAGGTTCCTATAAGGTAAGCCCAAAAAGGAACTACAATGGAGACTATGGGTAAACTCTGAAGTCATTCTGAAACCCTAAACTCGTTCAGAGGTCTGCGGTTTAGGGTGCTGGTGGACGCTAGGGGGTTGACAACGTCGGTAAACAGAACGTCCCTGGTCACTCCGCCACCCTTCAGTGCCACATAGCTGTAGCTGGGTCGTAGTGTTGGGCACCCAAAAGTATTCATGAATGGGTACCTTTATAGGGCCATAAGGTAGGTTGGATAGTGGTGCCACTTCGGTGACGATGTGGACTGGCGTAGCTCCTGCTACTAATAAGCCACAGTGTAAACAGGCCATCAACCCTAATGCCTCAACCTTCCCGGCAGAGGCATGTGGTTTGCAAGACAAAACAAGCGACGAATGTCCCGGCCGTCCTGCACCCGACAAACCTACAAACACGCACACACCCACACGCAGACAGAGTCTGGCGAAATTAGTCCTATTTAGCTTCACATGTCGTCAAAAAGCTGATCTTTTCACTAGCTACACTACGGTGTCGCACATATGTCGCATCCACTAATCCCGAGAGCAATATGAGATAATCGTGCCGGGCAAACAGACAGGATGGCGAGCATGGCAATCAAGGTGCAAAGGCGGCCTGGGTTCGGGGTTTAGGGTTTCAGGCCAAGGGTCGGGGTGTGGGCTCCACAGTGTCATGCATGGCTGTGGCTGTTATGCAGACTGCAAGAGCATACACAACTCTGAAACGAAACGATACGCACACGACTTCGCTACCGATATCCAACTTGGACTGCTAACCCGACAACGGCGACAGCCATAATGACGATGATGATGATGACGATGGGGATACTGATGGTGACTTTGATGGTGGTGGTGCTGGTGGTGATGGTTTTGTTGATGATGACTGTGATCATGATGATGATGATGATGATGATGATGACAGCGTCGCTGACCACGTACATGAATGCACTAACAGTGCACTAAGTATGGTCATCAAGCTGTTGCGGCGGCTGCTGATGTGATATCTATGTTTAACCTGACAGTGATGTTGCTGCTGCGGCTGCTGATGAAGCTGCCGATGATAGCTTTAAAGATGTCCTTGAGAAGAGTCGTGGTAATGGTGACTCTTACAGATTCTGAGAGTGGCGGCTGAAGCAGATGAAGGCATGACAATGACGATGATGCTGATTAGTTGGTGGCTTTTCAAACTATGATGGTAACCGCCGGTGTGGCGAAGCAACTGAAAGGGTTGGCTCGCCCGAGCTATGCCGCAAATCGCAGGCTTTATCCAACAGCACACAAAGCCAACTCAACACCTGGACAAGTTTCCTACCCTAAACTGGCCCTAAACCCTAAACTGAAACCACAGTGATAGCATTCTCTGCTGATCCGAGCCCCCCCAAAGGCTCGGAAGACTGTACCAGAAATCGAAACCTGCAGCCCTAAACGGCCCTGAACCAGGGTTTGGGGTTTTCGGCTGTGAAGTTACAGGTCTTAGGGCCTTAGGGTTTATAGGGTTTAGGGCTAAGCGTTGCAGGGGTTTAGCCAAAGAACCCCCAAACCTTGAGCTCCAAGTCAAAGCCCCCAAGCTTTTTGCTTTATACCTGTAGTCTCCATTGTAGTTCCTTGTTTGGGGTGACCTTTTAAGATCCTGAATATAAATTGGTTAAACCAATAGAAGGAACTACAATGGAGACTATAGGTAGAGCCCTTCTGTATAGAATCTTTCTAACTACCTAGAGGCTCCATAGTAGTTCTTTTTGGGGGGTTCATATTTAGAATCCTACAAGGCAATCCCAAACAGGAACTACTATGAAGCCTATGGGCACTTATAGTACGCACAGCAATAACATGGTACTTGCAAGAGTAAGACCCTTCAGCCCCATTAAGGCCCCTATATTCTTGCCGAAGTGGCCGAGGTCTCGGAAGTCAAAACGCCGACGAGGCTCCCCGTGCGGCAACACCTTCGTTCCTGGACTCTCGCTGCTCTTACGGGCGTCAACCCTAAACCCTAAACCCTTTAAGGAAAGTTTGGGACTGAGGGCCTTAGTTTAAAGCCTTAGGATAGGCTCTGTACGAACCCAGACCTTCCGATATCCCTTGATACAGTAGAAGCCAGAAAGTTGGAATATGATTATCCTAACCCTTCTATGGAAAAATACAGGGTATCCTACCATGAAACCATATTCCAACTTTCTGGAGTGCCCTGTACAGGAATCTACCTGAACTAAAGAAAGGATCCCTGATGTGATTTACGGTATTTTGCTCATTGAGGGATAATGGAAGTTCCGGGGAGCTTATCCTTTAGGGCATAAGGTGGGTTAGGGTGTAGGGATTACAGGGATTCAGGTGTTCACCGTGCTGGGGCTTTAGGCTTTCGGGTTGTCGTGATCACGGTGTTAGAGTTTAGAGTTGAGAGGACTGGAGACATGGGGTGAGGGCTCAAGCTTCTTGGTGTTCGCCGTGGAGGCTTAGGGCTAAGGGCCTCTGGGCTGTTGAGGTTGGGGTTGGGGCCTGCAGACATGAGATGTTTGTATTTTGTTAGGGTTCAACTTCTTAGATTTGGGTGCAAGTTTTCCGTTTAGACTTTAGGTTGCTGGGTTTCGGAAAGGCCGTTCGTTTTGGAGCCGTCCATGTAGGCTCGAAGGGCTTGGGAGTGTCGCGTTAAGGGATCTTTGATATTTGATGAGGGCTTCAGATTTTTAGGGCTTGAGTGAGGGTTCAGGGTTTAAGTGTTACTGTTTACGGTTACTTGGAGGTTCATGGGTAGTTTTAAGTCGGGTTATCAGTCCCCTAATAGGAGTTATAAGTATAGTTACCCTACTTATAACCCCACTTATAACTACACAAGAACCTCCAAGTAGGTTTCAAAAAAAAGTCTAGGAGAACAAACCTGGGGGCTTTGGGAACCTTGTCTTGGGCCTACCTGATACCTTAAAGAAATCACAGCACGGGTTTAGGGTTCAGGGTTTGGAGTTTTGGGGTTTGCGTGAATCTCAGAAAACTGACACCGCAGCAACTGCAAGGTGATCTAAAACGCGGCGTTGCTTCGCTGCACCCAGAACCCCCTGAGTAGACTAGATCTCATGGATCAGAACCCAGTATACTGTCTTGCCTCTCCAATGTAATTCTTTTTCTGGTTAGCCAGCACCAGCTTTATACTATTATAAATGATTCATGACTCAGAAACTATTTTAGAAATAAATCTGCTTTGGAGCAGGTTTGCCACCCCCTAAACCCTAAACAATAAACCCTAACTGTGGAGAACTGACCGACCCCAACCTTCCAACATCTCTTAGTCGGGGAATATGCCTGAAATGATGCTGGGACCCCGAAAAAGATTTAAGGTAAATATGTTCTTAGTTCATGCCGGGTTTTGGAATCTGGACACTTCTTGTGTATAGAACTCTCATCGAACTGTTGTAGAACCCAGATTGCTTCTGGCTTATGCAATACTTCTTGTCGTCCCAGCGTCCCGGCAGCGCGCACAGACAAATACCAAAAGAGCACATTGCCATGAAAGCGAGGTAGCTGGGCAGACCTGCATCCGCACGTTTGAGACACTTATAGGGTTGCAAGGGCTCAATGGTGGATAGGGTATCATGAGGGTTCTATGCAGCCACATGTGCATCGCCTGGACCCCTTGGCTTGCTGAAGACGTGGACCCACAGAAGAGCCCAAAGCCCACCAGCGGTGGCCAATGCTGCCTTGGCATACCTGCGACCAGGGAAGGGGAAGGGCGGTTAGGGTCAGTTGCCAAGGCTCGCTGCCAGCCCAGGAAGCACAAGGCTCGCAAACGCATAGAGGGACAGAACCCCAAACTCATGCATCTTTGGCAGCGCAGCAAACTCCCAAACCTTAAAACACCTCCTCTAAGCCCTAAACTTCCTGAACTCCTGAGCCCGAGACTTACACCCTTTTCCCCCCCCCCTCTCCCGGGCCCCAACATCTACAGCCCCAATCGCCAAACCGGAAGCCAAACCAGGCAGGCGACCCGACCACACCAGCGCGATTCTGTGGGAACGACTCCGAGCATGCCATACCTGAAGGGAATGGATTCGTGCTGTCCTTGTCATGGTAACTCCCAGAACAGCACAGTGCAAACAAGGATGATGATGGTGATGAGGACTTGATTCATGAAAACGGAATGATGATGATGATGATGATGATGAGGACGATGATGATGATGGTGATGATGACGAAGGCGACGATGATGATGCTGATGAGAATAATAAAGACGATGATGGTGTCGCGGACGAAGACGAAGATGATAATGGCGATGACGATGGTAGTCATCCTGATGGTTACCATGATGACCATCATGATGGTTCTCGTGATGATCATGTTGATCATGACGATGAGAATGCCGGTTACGATGACGATGATGAGGGGACAATGACTATTGCAGTTATCGCGATTGCTACCAGACTGTTCCTGTCATGAAACATCAACCAAACAAGCTACCCGATCAAGTTTAGAGGTCTGCAGTCGGCCATGAGAACTGATCTCATGTGTTCTTAAGTTCATATGCCTCGGAGACCCGTGACTTTAACCAGGGAATGCATCTAACAATGCATGCACAGCAAGATCTGCTAGCTGGGGCTTGCTACGAGCTTTCCGAGTTCCAGAATCTGGTAAGCACGGTGCTTGCTGTCAACAACTCAATGTCAGCCATATGCTAGCACAAATGCTGGTAAGTGAGATGTTCTCGACATCAGACAAGGAGTACTCTGAAAAGAAAGCCGCGATACACACGATGTTGTCCAGCAGGGACACACTGCCTGGTCAAGACCAAGGCGCCAAAACGGAATGCTTACTCCTAGCCACAAAGCTAAACCCTAAGCACTAGCTAGCAAGCCGGATAGAATGCGTCGGGTGCAGAGTGAAAGGCTACTGCCCGAATCTGTTCGCAAATGCCTCCGCCCGCCTATGCAAAAACTGCTAAAGTCTGGTCTTCATGCAAGCGTGGCCCCCAAAACCATATCAAGGAATCCTAAACAGATAGCTCTTTCGACTACAGGTTAGTGTGGCATGAATACCACTCGAACTCCAGGTCTACATCTCGTAGCCCCGAGGAGTATGCAAAAACCGGTCGTTGAATTCACAGAGAATGCCAATGCTACTATTTTAAAGGCATTTTCAGGCATATCAAATATGCGTATTTTTATATCCATATCATGAAACATATTAAGACCTCCTAAAACTTAGGGACACTGCGACGAGCTGTCTACCGCCCTGGCGATGAACAAATATCACTGTAAACGAAGAAAACCGGCTGTTCCAAACAACTGCCTGTTTCGCCTGCTTTAAACCCTTACACGTACGACGACTTGCCAAATGGGCACCTGAAAGGGAAACTTCAGTTAGAGAAAACCTCCCAATACGTCACAAACCCACAGAAAATCTGTATGTGGATGGGCTTGGTGGGAAGGTCGCATCTCTGGGACGTTGGCTTCGAACTGAGAATGTCCTAGCCCTGGAACTGTGCACAATCGGCGCACATGCGAGCACCTGCAATCTGCAACCCTGAAAGTAAACAAATGAAACGTCAATCGATGACATCAAGTGCCCAGCTGCTATATCCAGCTGCCAAAGATCCGACGGCAGCAAGCACTACTTTCCTGACACAGTGGGCTATGCATCTGCAGAGTCTTACCAAAGGAAAAACGCCAAACAAACCCCATGCTCAAAACTCGACCCTGCAACTCGCACGAACAATGGGTCAGGACAAAAATCAGCGAAGAAGAACCACTGTAGGACAAGGATCCGCAACAGAGGCAACAAACGGAATTGCGAATAGACGCCGCCTGCTGAAAATCGAGCACGTTTTTGGTACGTTAATTATGCCGGAAACTTCAACCTCAATGGCAACTAATGTCAACAACTGCATTTTCTACGGTTATTGAAAAGTACCTGCTGCCTGCTCTTTGCCGCCGCGTAGCAGTGTTTGGGAGATGCTGCCCCCCGCAACTGTGGCGAGGCCCATGAGGGAATAACCGATGGCCATGAAAGAGCTTCCTCACAAAGGGGTTTCTGGCTTCGTTGTAGTGAATTATCGGGGCATTGCCGTTCTCACGGTGTGACAGCGTGGTCTCTTACTGACAGCTGGTTGTCAAAGCCACGCTGATTGAATTAAAACATGCGGGGGGTAAACATTCTGCATGACGATAGCTGCCCGAATGAATACCCGAACTACACACTTCGGTTTCAACTTCACATGTAAACACACCTTCAAAGCTAAAGTTCAAAACAAACACCCACACAAACATTAAGCCTGGGACAGCCTGGGTGACGGTTATTGAGTGAGCATTGAGCATTGTACATGTATATATGCACGCCTGCATGCCTGCACACGTGTACTTATACGTGTATGTGCGTATGCTGTATGTAGGTATGTATGTATGTGTACATATGTATTTATGTATGTATGTATGTATGTATGTACATATTATGTAGGTGATCACGACTTCCTTTGCCTGCCAAGTACTTGCACGTCTTTGTGTGTGTGCATCTGTGCCTTTTCTGGCTTGGCTCGCATGTGGAACTCTGTATGTTTTGTGAAAACGAAGCTGTGCATGTGTTGCTAAATCGAGCGCGCTGTCCGCGGCACATGCGATGGATCGCGACACCGAACTTATGCCGCGTCTGGAACTGACTTTAAAAAACTGCAAATACCTTTGAGCATGTCGTAAGGCACGTGTGGGCTGGAGCTTTGCAGAAGGCAGAATAGTGCAATGTGTCGCAATGTCACAGGATGCCTGCAACGTACTGCGGCGAAAACTCACTATCCGACAATGTTGCACAACGCAAGGTATAAGCCGTTGTAGCGTATGCAACGTGTTTTCTTTTCATTAGAGCCTACGCTGGGCTACGCCACTCTACGCGCTAATCAGGCCCACCATGCGGAAAACTACCTACGCAGAGATATCTCGAGCTATGATGGCCTACGCAAGCCTATGCGCTACGGAGGCCTAGCAGGATTTGTCTTCCAAAACGTCGAAACCTTTGCGTATGTTCTGCTTTCGTATAGATATAGCCGGCTGCATAATAAATGATTAAGAAAGCGATTCCTAAGGCTTTGCGCAGCCTACGCAAGGACTACGCCGTGCCTACGCGAAGTGCAATCCACTACATCCGATTTTGGGCCTCCTCGAGGCCTGTAGTAAAACTACTTATCCCTAAGCATCCGAAGACCTCAAATATGACCAAAGTGCTGGTTTGGTAAGCACAACAACGCAAGGCCTTGTTTTTTGTGGTTCCGGACGGAGCATGTGTGTGATGTATGAAAGTCCTAGGATTTCATATACTTTAGCCTATGGCATGCTTTCCTCTAATTACACATGCATGGTAAGATGCCATTTATAGCGAGCTTGCTTGACTTCATTGATTTTTTGAAAAAATATTAAATTCCGACACGTTGGTTGAATTGAGAAAACATTGATTTATAGATTCTTGCACGGGTTTTGCTATGTGTATCAGATATGTATATAATGTATATATATATATATATATATATATATATATGTATATATATAGGGATTTGTCCGACACAGAAGCCACCAAGCAGCATCAACAACGAAAACAAATATGTATACATATATATAAATATATATTTTTATATTTACTTTATATATATATATACATATGTATCATTCTACATATATATACATATATACATATATATATATATGTATAAATAGATACCGATTTTTAGAGATATATAGATATATATATATATATATATCGAATCCTTGCATTAATGCACAGGCTTGGAAGTCTCCAACCACCCGCCGCTTCGCCGCCCAGGAGCATGCAGGCATACATGTACAATTAGGAAGACCATGATCCTAGATATATATAGTGCAGTCACGATTATTCAAGGAATATGTTTTTCAAATTAGGAACTGGCCAGAATTCCCCAGATGTCTCGCACTCCAGACTGCACCGAGGCCCGTATCAAACAAACACGTGTGCATACAGACGACGTAGACTGCATGCATAGCCATATATATATGACAGAAGCCTGAGCTCCCAATAATTCGTAATTCATGGTCGGTGCCCGCCAGCTGCGGCCTTCCTTTTGCCGAGGCCGGAAGCAGTGGATGGGATGAGGTTTCAGTGTTATAATATGTTTCAGCGATTTCAGGGGAGTTGTGTCTTCGGGGAAATATATTTTGTATATATATATATATATATATATATATATATCGAATACATGGAGATGTTAATGTAGTTTTATTGATCTGGGCTTTGGCATAATGCGGGTTTCCGGTGCTGAGTGTGGAGCAGACATGTGTGCTTCTGCAGTTACAAGCATGGGCTCAGACCGCTGGGTCATGTACATGTTTAGGTTGCCTAGATTATATATATTTGTTAGTGCACAGGCATGGTCCTAGAATATGTACAACAATATATATACGGAGACTTGTAGACAGACAAGTCTCCGTTTGTCTGAGCCCTGCTTGTCGAGATCTTCCCTTCGGATCCTTGGCCGGAGCAGCTGGAAAATTAAATAGACATATATGTTATGTCACATAGTTGAATACGTATATTATATATATATACATACATACACATACACTAGCGAGATATATACTATACGTGTGTGTAGCTTATGTATACCTATATATAATATATATATATATATATATATATATAATATACAGATTCCAAGCTGAAGCCGGCAGGGGACGGATCCGTCGAGATCTCTAATTAAGTAGATATATACGACTACTACCATATATATATATATATATATGATATACATACGATACCAGGATATCTACATACATCAGCTCATGCATCATGAGCCTTAATTTATAGGCATAGCTCTAGATCTAAAGCTGCATTTTGCAGCACTTCGCCATGGCCGATCCCGCGAATGCTGGCGATGAGCAGCGGCGAGCACCTGGGTCTGGTGTCACCCTGCTGCGGGGTCGCTGGGTGCTGTGCTTCGTCCCGGAGGTGGAGATGATGAATGTCCGCGGGTACAACCACGTCGGTGTCGACAGGTACCCCGGGCTTCCGTTTATGCCATGGCC